TCATGTATGATTTCTCCTGGATTTGTGCTGCTGGCTCTGTGTTGTTGGTTTGGCATTGTGGCTATCGGAATATTCTGATGACAATAAGGTAGAAAAGAAACCTTTTGTTTTGGCTATTAAATGTTGGAATACCATTAGAATAGGGCTTAAATTCAAATTTTGTCAAGCTAATGTATATTATACGCACAGATGCTCTATCATAGACAAAGAATGTCCGCAGACCAAGAAGAACTCTCTGTGTAGGAATTATGCAATTTATGATCTGGAAACTTACTTGAAGTTTGTAAGTAGGAGCACGCACAACAATTAGTTACTAGTTTTCAATATGTTTTAAAGTTCCTATTTGCCTGTACATGTTTTATGAGTTCTGCAACACTTGGGATGTCTTGATCTTTTTATCTCAAGTAAATAATTGAAAGCATGCTCATGCTTTAGTTTGTAAATTCTGTTTTGCACATAGGAGCTTGGAACTTTAACTGACTTTTGACTAAAAGTTCTTTGTGTCACATTCTTTTACTTTCCTTCCTTTCCTATTTTGTCTCATTGTAGTTCTGTGATTTTGTTATTACAGTTTGTAGCCAAAAGAAGTTATAGGAAAATGAGTAGAACCTAGAGGACATGTTTTGATATGTTCTGTTCTCTGGAGTACGGAAAGTTGTTTGTTTTGTGGAGTTTATGCTATTTTTTCCATGATTTGGTGTGTTTTGATGATAGGAAATTGTTGAAATATTGGAGATTGCTAAAAATTGAGAAATTGTTGGGTAACTTTTTTTTATTTCCTCTTTGCATTGTTCCATTGTATTATTTACAATGCCTTTTAGTGGTGCTTCCTCAACTGTCATTCAGCTTATTGGATGGCTGGAACTCTATTTTGCTTGCGCTTGCCTTTTTTTTTCTTTTCACTGATATCTTATATTATTATCTATCGAAGTAAAAAAAAAAGGAAGATAATATCTGCCTCAAATTCATTCTAGTTTGTAACTGGGATGATACACTTGTATTGACAATTTGATATGTAATTGTGTCCATGATGCCCATCATCAATGATCATTTTCTCTGACTAGCTCGGAGTTGAAGGGAGGGTTAGTTAAAAAAAAAGTACAAAGGGTGGTCCAAAACTAGGTTGGATTTCAACGGGTGTATCAATTCCTGATGGTTGCTTCAAGGGAACGGAAGTGATTCTACATTTTTGTGACTTTCTGAATTTGTAAAATTGCTATCTGGTACTTTATTTTTACAGCGAAGTTGCAATATATTTATTCTAACTCGAATCAGTACTAGCTGGATGTTTGATCAACTGAGCAAGATTTGGGCAAGTCTAACAAGTTAACCTTTGTTTTTTAAGCTTTTTTTTTTTTTTTTTTTATCCTTTTACTTAAGCTATGAATGTTTCAAAAGTTTTTCGAATATCATCACAGAAGTGAGTTGCAGAGGGCCTTACATTGGTCTTGTAACAACTTATCTGCCTCAAGTGAATGTCATTGTCGCAACTGAGGCCATCCTATTGTGGATCCTCAGGTAGGTGTTATCTCATTGAATGTTTGTTGAGGTTGAACTCTTTAGTTCTTTAGAGTTTGTCTCAAGTTAAAGTGGTGGTTGGGTGTTGCAGGACTATGATTCTGAGTGGAAAAGGTTGATAGGTGGAGAACGTTATGTATGTGAGTCTGGGTGAATGCTGTTTTATATCTATCCTTTTAGGATTCTGTCAATGTGGTTTCTTCTTGCCCTTGCTTTCTTTTTGTTTTTGTTTTTGTTTTTTTGTTTTTTTTTTGAATTATTCATGGGTTGTTTTTCGTACAGCGACCAAATTGAGGCTTTAATGCTTTTATTCTGTTTTTATTTACCATGTTTTGTCACACGCAAACAGACCCTGAATTTTGCAGCTGTCAGTTATGTTGGATTGAGATGCATTTTTCCTGCAATACTGTACAAAATAACTACTGTTATGGTGAATAAAAACATCATATGGCCGATTATGGTGGTGAAAAGTGGTCAGTAGTAATAGTTGAAGTCTATGCTTAAGTATCATACTTGTCTTAGATGATTGATAACGATTTCTTTCCTTCTGCAGATGCATGGTATAGTATACTAAGAGACCAGGTTTTTTTAATGACAAATTTTTTGAGCACTGACAAGATTCACTAGATATTTGGTTTTTAAGCTGTATTGTTGGTAACCAGACATGATCAATATTGTGTTGAGGAACTTAACTAAGGATTGATGAAAAGGTCTGCTTGAGAATAAGAATGACCACATATGTTATTGAGTATTCTATTCTTACACGTTGTTTACCAAATAATCATCTTACCTGTTAAATAGATGTCAATGACATGTTTTCTTGTTTAACTTTTCAGAAATGGCTCTGATTTGGGGTTAGTGCAGTAAGTTGCATCTGGGTATAGTGAATCAAAGTCAGGGGAAGCCATTTCCAGGTGGCCTGTATATGGTTGATCCCAAAATGGCAAGATTACGATGTTCTGTGGCCTATATGATTGAGCCACAAATGATTCATGGTGGTCTTACTTGTGAGTTTGATGAGCATGTTTGGTTCTTCAAAATTAGCCCAGCATATTCTCAACCTGCCAACATAGTGGTCAGTGAAATGTAATACTTTATGCTTTTTTAAATTAAATATGGCATTACTTTTCAGAATCATTTCCGTATCCCCAGGGGCCTAAAGTTGCCAGCTGCTATGATGTGTTTATTGAGATTAAAAGCTTTTCCGGGATATCAGTATTATTATATGACATGGCGTCATAAATTTGTCCCACATGTAGAGTCAATAAACCTGAGTTTGGTGTGTACACATAGTGCTTCACCTGTTTGAGTTCTAAGTGTACCATGTAATTCCATTTGGTGATTTGCAGGTTCTGTTATTGATAAGGAACCGTGCTATTGACTCGTGGAGCCCTGATTTTAAGCCAATCGTAAGTATTGACATTCTTTGCCAATATCATTCAAAAAAAAAAAAAAAAACTGTCAGTATGATAGTAGTCTTAGCAGCAAGCATATGATGGTCAAACTATGGATTTAAACATCGTATATGTCAATTTTCCTAACGCCAATTTAGTGGTGCTTGTGGATCGCTTTTAAAAGGAACCACTTGTCTTATGAAGTGGCAGTTCTATTAGTAATATAGTTCTCAGTGGCCATTTCATCTTGACAAAAATCTATGCTGAGTTTTTTTCCATCTTCTTTCATGGGACTACTACAAAAACAATGTTTCTGTGACAGGTATTGTAGAGGAGAATACTAAATGAAAATAACAAGCTTAAGGCATATCCGATACTTACTATCCATGATAAAGGTTTGGAGGTCTCTTCGTCATTCAGAAGGTTGGGTTTCTTATTTATTTTTCTTAAGTTCCTGCAATTGTGGCAGATTCCTCAATGATTTTCAATTATCATTCGCTCCCACACGTGTTCCTCGCATACTTGAGCAATTACCTTGAGTATCTGCTCCAAGCAAAGGATTGAAATATGAAATACAAGTCCTTCCCTGTCCTAGGAGAATATCTTATAATAATGGAATGCTGTTGCAGGAACTATTTTATCTTATATAGAAAACCAAAATCTTGAGAATATTGACTGACTAAAATCTGATGAATAATGCATGTGGAAACAAGAGAGAACATCAATTCTGCACCTGTCTCTTCATGATTTTCTGATTTCATGAATGCGCATATCGTTTGGTTTAAATGCTTAATGATTCTGAATAGAAGAGAAGGCACTGGAAACATTAGCCCTGCAGAATATCTTTGAACTAATTCCTTTGAATTTGCTCATTCACATAGTTGATCTCTTAATTTCCAAATGATTGTAACCTTTGCCAGTTGACCTTCTTCGTTGATTTAGAGCAAGGTCTTGTCAGTTGATGTCACTGCCAAAACAGTGAGAGCTGCTGACCAAAACCAAAGGAATGATCTAGTATTTTCAACTTGCAAGTGTTTTTTTCCCCCTTATCTCGTCATTCTATTTTCATATTTACCATATCTCCCTAGGCTCTCATTTGCTCTTCACATTTTCGTTTGCAGTACCTGGATATGTTTGTTAGAGACTTTCTGCTGACCTCGTTAGGAACATTTTTCTAGTGAGCACTGATTTTCAAGATCCATGTGGATCTTAATGTTTGCTGACCTCGTTAGGAGTGGGAGAAGGAAAGGGAACAAGGAATTGCTTGAAGTTCTCACTCCCTCTAGTGATGGACTTTCTGCTGACATTTGGAGGGAAGGCATTCCACAATAGTGGATAATCTTCATGCTAGGAGGGAGTTCTGGTGTAGAAAAGAATTTTTGTTTCTTGCTCCTTGGCTAAATGTTTATTTAAAGTATATTAATTATTATTTATTATTTTTTTCTCGTGACAATATAAGTACTTGGTATAATTAAAAAGGTTCAAAGAAGAAAGAAAATATTTTGAGAATCAATAGTGCGGAGATTGTTAGATTTAGAACATAAAATTAAAATTTCAATGGAAGTGGCACTGAGTGATGAATATTACATTTCTAACAAAAACAAAAAGAAAGAAAACTTGTGATTCTCGTTTTTTAGTACCGAACATTTAGAAGCCATATATATATATATCTAAATTGCTCATAGTTTCCAATTTTACAATCCCTAGCCAATGAAATATTTTTTTATGAAAATATAAAAAGAATTTTAATCAAAACGATTCCAAGAGGTTTTGAATATGAAAAAAAAAAAAAAACCCTATTCTCAGAACAAAATCGAAATAAATTGAAAAGGAAAAAAATGATTAAGATCAAAAATTAAATAATTAATTTTTCAAATAAGAAAAAAACCTGTGTAAACCCAAACAAGCCCTATCCGGGCACTAGAATACTCTTATTTGAGAAACCAAACACACATAACAAAGACTGAACCCTAAAACATCCCTTATATATTTCACTCTAAACGCAGATCAAGTACTCTCTCCCGCAAAACCCTAGAGCCTCTTAGTTTCTCTCCCTCTCTCGCAAACACACACACCCCACACCACCAAATGGCCGCCGCCGCACGCCCCCTTGTACCCGTCCAATCCCTTCCATCTCTCAATGAGATGGCCACGGATTCTGTAGCAACCGTTCATCTTCCCGATGTCATGAAGGCCTCGATTCGGCCAGACATCGTCAATTTCGTGCACTGTAATATTTCGAAGAACAGCCGCCAACCGTATGCCGTTTCCAAGAAAGCCGGTCACCAGACCTCAGCCGAATCTTGGGGTACTGGTCGTGCTGTTTCTCGTATCCCCCGTGTTCCTGGTGGTGGAACCCACCGTGCTGGTCAGGGAGCTTTCGGAAACATGTGCCGTGGTGGTCGCATGTTTGCTCCTACCAAGATCTGGCGCCGCTGGCATAGGAAGATTAACGTCAACCAAAAGCGATACGCTATCGTTTCAGCTATTGCTGCCACTGCTATTCCTTCTTTGGTTATGGCCCGTGGTCACCGCGTGGAGTCAGTCCCTGAGATGCCGTTGGTTATCTCTGATTCCGCTGAGAGCATTGAAAAAACATCTACTGCTATTAAGGTGCTCAAGGAGATCGGTGCATATCCAGATGCTGAGAAGGCCAAGGATTCTCAAGCGATCCGGCCTGGAAAGGGAAAAATGAGAAACAGGAGGTACATTTCTCGCAAGGGCCCCCTGATAGTGTGTGGGACTGAAGGTGCCAAGTTGGTTAAGGCCTTCCGTAATATTCCAGGAGTCGAGGTGGCTAATGTGGAGAGGTTGAACTTGTTGAAGTTGGCTCCTGGTGGCCATCTTGGAAGATTTGTGATCTGGACAAAATCAGCTATAGAGAAGCTTGATTCAATTTACGGGTCCTTTGAGAAGTCTTCCGAGAAGAAGAAAGGGTATGTGTTGCCTAGGTCCAAGATGGTCAATGCTGATTTGGCTAGGATCATCAATTCTGACGAGGTTCAGAGTGTCGTTAAGCCAATCAAGAAGGAAATGAAGAGGGCACCTTTAAAGAAAAATCCATTGAAGAACTTGAATGTGATGCTTAAATTGAACCCATATGCTAAGACTGCTAGGAGAATGGCTCTTCTGGCTGAGGCAGAGCGCGTGAAGGCCAAGAAGGAGAAGCTCGACAAGAAGAGAAAGGCTGTTTCAAAGGTATATTGTCTATCTATCTGCTTATTATATATATATATATATATGTGAAATGGTGGGTTTGTTACTTTGTTGTTGTGTCGCATGCTTTGTTATTGTGATCTTTGTGTGTTAAGATTGTTAGATAGTTTGGTATATTGCTAAAGACAGCAAAACTTATTTAGCAGTAATATATTCTTCATTTTGTTGTCGTCTCCTTTATTTTATGTTTAAATAACGTATGCTTAGGCTTCTATTTGAGTTTTTTTCCTGCTCTTCATACTCTCCTATGGTTGTTTCAACTGGTGTTTTGTTTTTGCTATATGTGTTAATCCTTCATTACAAAGATCAGGGTTTATGTTGTTATGTTGTGCCCGAGTCTAGGATTCTTTATTTCTGTTTTTGCTTTGTTTTTGAGTTCATAATTTAATGGATTTGATACAAATTCTAATCTTTTCTAAAACATTTGACATTGATTTTTCGAAAATTGAAATCCTTATTGTTGCAAGGTGTACTTAACTGCTATTTGCTGATTAACAATCTCTCTTTTCTTATGCAACCCCACCAGGAGGAGCTAGCTGCTGCTAAGGCTGCTGGAAAGGCATGGTACAAGACCATGATTTCTGACAGTGATTACACAGAGTTTGAAAATTTCTCCAAGTGGCTTGGTGTCTCCCAGTAATTTGTTTCTGTTTTTAGAGAGGAGTTTTGTTTATCTAATTAATTTGGTTATCAACTCTTGTTTGTTTTCCTGCTGGACTTGTATGAGATGTTTTGCTAGGTCAAAGAATTTCTATTACAATCAGAATTTGGATGGTACTATGATTGCTTCATTTGTGTTTTTTTATTGCATTGCTTGCTCTTATGTACTGTGTTTTCTATAGTTGCTTGGTGAATGTGGAAACTCTGCATGTCATGGTTTTCTTTGGAATATCCTTGTTTTATTGAGGGTTTTAGATTTGAATCTTCATCAATTGTTCAGTGTTCCTGAACATATTTGATGTTTTAATTATTGGATGGATTGATATAGTGCATACCTTGCACAATTGAAAATTCGGTTTCTTTGTATATGACTGTGTGCCGGCTCCTTGAGTTATTGGGTTCATGGAACCTTAAAGCGGTATTTTGAGGCATAATTTCGATATGCTGCACTCGTATGGTTCTGTGCTCCTTGAATTGGGTTCGTAATGGATGGTTGCAACTTGCGAGGATGTCTTTATCTGATTTTGCCGACCTTTCTTTTAATCTCGAATGTGAGCTTGCCATCTTTTTTGGATTTGAACTGTTTGTTTATTTTGAAGGACATGAAAATTTTGAGATCTATTTTGATGTTTAATTGAGGAAAGTTGACGTCTGTCATCAATGTTGAGTAAAAGAGCTTTTTGCTTCATTTGTTTGCTGTTTGTGTGAACGTGTAAATCAGTCATAGTTTGCAAATTACAAGATAGAATTATTGCTCAAATTAGCTTGTTTATGAGAGAGCAAGCTCCTTTATAATCTGTAGAATGGAGAATAATGCAGGGAGGACTAAAGCACTTGAAGTCGATCTAATTAACTTGTATTTCAGAATGGTTAGCTCTTTTACGTCCATTTTTTCATTAGTTTAGAGGCGTGGTATGGGTAATTAAACACCACAGAATGTTTTGGTGATGCCATTTTTCTATGATGGGGCTTTACGTTCGTAGATGAGCAGTGAGGAGTGACGCAAGGGAGTGCTTAATAGGGGATTATTAAGGATGCCATTTGTTGATGGCCCATACCCTACATGGAGGAGCACTGAGGAGGAATGCAAGTGCGTGCTTTATTGATAAGCTATACCTCTTGTGTTAAGCTTAACCAAAACACAAGGACCTTACCTCAGAAGGCCATCTTAAAGAAAGATGGCACGGAAGGAAGCCAGGACATCTTTGCTTCGAGCAGGGAGTGATTAGGTGTTCGGCATAAAGCAACGAGAAGGCTATCGGGACTAGCTTGAGGGAGGAGTGTGCACCTTCCGCCTCCACCTCCGCGAAAGCCCGTAAATCTCTCTGTCTTTCTCAATTTGTGTCAAAAACAATTTTTAATTTCTCCATATCCTTTTAAATTGAAGGTCGACCTCCTATGGAGGTTCCCGACTCCGCTTGATTTGTTTTCATGATCAATTTCGATCAAGTAAGGATATGAGTTCAAAGTAAAATATTTTATGTTTAAGATTAATCAAGATAATCATAAAAAAAAAAAAAAAATCACCAATTGTATATATATATATAAAGATCCATCTGATTGGAGGATAATATATCCGTCTTTATGTCCGAAAAAGTTACAATAAAGGGATGTGAAATTGGTAGGAAATGAGGTCTGCTTGTTGGTACTCAGTAATTTGAAAATAAAAAATATTTGAAGCATAGATTTAGCGAGCAACATAGCAAAACAATCCAGTAAGAACCATTGATGTTAATAGGCCTTTTTCTCCATTCGGCCACATCCAAGTGGAAAGAAACGAGGAAGGAAGATAGATAGTCTAGTCTCTAAAATGTAATTCGTTGGAATTCAGTTAGGCCAAGCCCCTTTATCTCCAGATCCAAAGCCTCAATGTTTAAGTGATAACAATTGGAAGTCGATAGCTTCTAATGCTTGAAGCCTAGAACCCAGCCGACTCCCAAGGGGGGACCCATATAAACGTGTAGCAGGAAAAAAAAAAAGACAAAATTTTATGCTGTGGTTATTTCGTAGTCTTTTTTTTTTTTTTTAATTAAATTAAGGCAACGGTGTTACTAGCATAGGCAAGTAAGGATTGAAAAGGAAATAATCTATCTTGCTGTGTAGGACTATTTTTTCTATGAAAAGAGAAGATATTATTAGGAAAAAGTGGAAGTAGAAAAGATAATTAGGGAATAAAGTAGTAGAAACAAAGTAAATAGCATGTCGAGGCCAAATTCTATGTTTGTATGCAATTACTGTAGTCTTTTATTGGTGGAATTACTAGAATAAAAAAATGTTCCTTAAACTTTACACTGTACGGTTAAATTTTCTGACTAAATTATATATTCTATTAATTATGCACTAAGAAGCAGATTCCATCGGTCCGGCTCTTCATAATTCAAATTGTCTCCCACTTTACCCATTTCATATGACCAATAATTTATTTGACCCAATTACAATAATGCAACCCAATAAACTAAAAGTTGTTATTAAATAAATAGAAATAATAAGAGAATTAAAAGAAAGGATGACAAGAAAATGAAATCATTATAATGTGGATATAAATGATAAGAACTTCAAAATTTTTCTTATTCTCTCTAGAAAACTTGTACACCAACTAATGAACCATCAAGCCTATTTATAGGCTTCAAATTTGAGAAGAAAATTAGAAGGGATTATGAATAATCAATTGCATCACCTTTCAATTTCTCATATTGAATGATGAATTGAATCATATTAAGAATCATGAGTAGTGAGGATATGAAAAGTAGATGAACATTCATTATTTCATAACACTCCTTTTTGAATGTCCATTGTACAAGGAACATGTCTCGTTAAAACCTTACTAGGAAAAAACCCGAGTGAGAAAAAATCCTAGTTAATGAAAAAGAATACAATATTCTTTGTACACATTAATCTCAATGTTGGCCTCCCCATGTTGAAAATATCATTTGAGATCTCTAAGACGATATATTTCAATCTTGTGAATCATCTTATCAAAAGTTGTGGTAGGTAATGCTTTAGCGAATAAATCCGTTGGATTGTCACTTTGATGTATTCTTCCTTCAATGGAATTATGCAAGCGAGCATTATCCTTATATGATATCGTTAAAACTTCTTTTATTGATAGATAAAATGCATGTCTCTCGGATATGATGAATCTTTGATCTTAGTCAAACACATTCTCGACTTACCTCGTGAATTGATATTTACGAATGATTTGAAAATGTGGCAGCTATAATTTGCTTTATAAAACGTCAAGATATAGTCGTATCTCCATGTATAAATATATAACCAGTTGTGATCGAGCTTTGTGTGAATCGGATAAATAACATGCATCTACATAACCAATTAATCTTGTCTTTGATTTATTGGAGTAATAGAAGCCCATATCAATTATTCTTCGAAGATAACGTAGTATATATTTAACTTTATTTCAATGTCCCCATATTAAAGCAAAACTACGACTTGCTAATAAATTTATAGAAAAGATTATATTAGGTCGAGTATTATTAGTAAGATATATCAATGCACTAAGTAGCACTAAGATATGGTACTTCGTAACCAAGTAGTTCTTCGTTGTCTTCTCGAGGTCGAAAAAGTCTTTTTGGATATCAAGTGAACGAACTATCATTGAGCTAATCAATGAATGATCTTTATATATAATCATTATAGAACATTTTTCTATATAAATTGACTAATGAATAAAAAGTCTCATTCTCCGAGTGCTCAAATTCGTCGGTCGAGATAACATTTTTTTTCCCAAGGTATTCACATCAAATTCTCTTTTTAGATAACTTATAACACTTAGAATCTCTTCAAAAGTTCCAATGATATTTAAGTCATTAACAACAAACCCATTTTCAAATAAAAATATATGAACAAATAAGGTTATTTTTAAAAAAAACTTTCTTTCAATAAATAATCATTGAAGTGATTATATCATATGCACACGGATTAGTAATAAACAAGTAGATACAAAAATAAAATATAAAAAATTATAATATAAATTGAATTTTTGTAAAAACTAAAACAATAAAACAAATACTAATAATCCTAATAGAGATCTCTACAATTTAATTGAATTCTTTTCTCAAGAATATGTATTACATACTTCGGCATGTTAAGTCCTTTTAGGACTTTCATACCGATATCATTTCAAATGAACAAATAAACCGTGAGCATATTTATTAAATGCATGCATATGAATGTTTTTCATATATTTTTTCAGAGCTAATGAGATAAGAAAAGACAATTGCATCTATTATAGGAGAATATGTCTCCTCATAGTCAATGTCAATTCATTACGAAAATCTTTTGTGTTAAAAGTTTTGCTTTGTATCTTACAATCTCATCTTTCTTATTTTATTTTCAAATAAATACATATTTGTATCTCATTAGCTTAACATCTTCGGGTGTTTTAGCTATGGGTTCAAAAAACTACTCTTTTATACGAGAACATAATTCTGCCTGGATTGCTCTTTTCATTTAGGCCAATCATCTTTATGTCGACATTCTTCAATAGGTTTTGGTCGAGGATCCTTATTTTCATTCAAAATATCAATTGAAATATTATATACAAAAATCTTATCAATAAATATTTCTTTTCGATTCTATTTTCTCCCTGTATTGACATAATTTATTAAAATCTCTTGATTTTTCTCAAGCATTTGGACTTCTTCTGAAGCCTTATTATCATATTTATCTTGGACCTTTTTGTAAATATTTGGATCTTTCATATTTTCATCTTGTCCTTTTCTTTTGGAGATTTTTATCTTTAGAACCGATCGGTTTTCCACACTTCGGACGTGCTTTAGATTCATTGGCTATAACATTAATAGATCGTTCTTCTAGCCTTCTAGGGCATCAATTCTAATAGGAGTATTCTCAGCGGGGAACATGCATTATAGTTACTCATTTAGGATCCGAGAATGCATCTAGCAGTTAGTTTGTAATACCTTATAAATGAATTATCTTTTGAACTTTTGGTTCACATTGTTT